TGAGACCAGCATGGTAAAACACAGTTTTTTTTTTTTTTTTTTTTCCCCCTCCCCCCCCCCCTCCTTTCTAGACAGCTACTGTACAAAACCAAACAGAAATTTATAATAAATACCTAACACAAGAGGCTCAGTACATTGCTACAATCCTTCACTGAAGGGAAACATATATATACATATATATATCCTAATATATAACCTCTTTGACTTAAATCAGCGGAAAGGCTACGTGTTTCTACGGGAAGGCTGGGGCAGGAATCCCACTTACCATCACCCAGACCCCTCAACCGAGCATCGCCGCCTGTGGTCCCCCAGCGGGTTCCCCAGCCTCCTCCTTGCTGGAAAAGCAGCAGGATTTGCCCGCAGCAGGGAGTTTTTGCATCTAGGAAGCTCTGGTGAAGCAACAGCGCGGCAAATATAAAAAACTTGGAGAGACCCTTCGCGTGCACGACTCCTGTGGGATAAATGCGGCCGTTTTCCTCAGCACCGTCTCAGGTTGGAATTTTCAACCGACCTTAAACGCTTGGTTACAACGCTGGAGAGGAGACACACGCTGGCCTTAAAGTTCAAACCCTCGCAGGCTCAGAGGGGAAAAAGAAAATAACCCTGCAAGGCTACGTGACTTTAGCATCCAGCTATTTGCTAGAGAGAGAGAGGGCTTAAATTCCTGGAGATTAATTAGCAGACAGAGAACACTGCCCGAAGGTAGGTCTGAATGACAGCCCAAACAGCTCTGCATCCAAACTCTGCAGCTGGCCTTGATTAATTTTTTTTTCTTTTCTGAAAAAAAAAAAAAAGGGCCAAGCTCTTGGTACCCTCAGTCACTGGCTGTAGCCCCTTGGTTTCAATAGGAGTAACCTATGGGAGATAAAAGCTGAATATCTCAGGTTTTCAAATAAACTTTTGGGTTCCTGGCATGGCTTTGGACAAGCAGTTCATCCCACAGTCCCATCCCAAACCTGCCTGGCTCTTGAGAAAAGGGTCTCACGGGAGCTTAGATCAGGCAAGAAAGACAAGAAAAAGGATTTGCTCCACAACTGCAAACGGGGAAGCTCAGACATTGCAAATCCAAGTCCTCCTCCTCCAGCCCTTCTCCCCTTCCTGTGAGAAAAGGGCTCTTCCCGCTGGAAATTCAACATTTTGCTGCCGAAAAGGGAGCCATGGCAGGGTACAGGCATCTGCAGGGATGCAGGGAGGGACATCAAGAGAGGAGCCTGGAGACACCAAATCTCTCACCCAGCGATGGCAAAACCTCCCCAAATTCCATCCCCGCTCCCCAGGCACCAGCTGCCGCCAGCACACGGACGGTGATCGCTTCGAGAGGGGGAAAGCTCAGGGACTGAGCAGCCATCTGCACCGGGGCCAGACACGCCGGGAAGGAAGAGCTCCAGCCTTGCCAGGCTCGGTTTTAGACCGGGAATTGCTCAAGGCTGGAGCCGGGCACCGGATCCGAGCATCTTCACATATCCCGGGAAAGCAGAGGTGAAGAGCAGCACTGGGCACCACGGTGGGCAGGGGAGAAGCTCAGCATCTGCAGATCCTGAGCTCAGCCCTGCTGCTGCGAGCCAGGTAATCTCCAAAATTAACCCAGAGCTGAGAAAATGAGCCTACAGCTGACTGAAAGCCAAGGACAGGAGAGAAAACACTGCCAGGCTCGAGGGTCTGCTCCAGAGGGGCGACGGGGTATCGCAACAGGCATTTCACAGTCAGAGCGCTGCGGAATTAGCAATTAATTAACCCTCATGGCAGCCCCGCTAGCCAGGTCAGGTGTAATTAAGCTTTGGTTTTACAGGCATGGGGTTGCCGCTTTAGGAGTAACGCTGGGGGTGTTGGGAGGCAGAGGTTTGTCACCTTGCTGGTTATAAACCCAGCGGACACCGCCGTGAGCATCTCGCCTGTCCTCCTGCCCGATGCCTGCCAGGATCTGGCCCTCGGCTCGTTCCCGCAGCCAGATGAGTGATTCATCTCCCAAGCCAAACCCACAGCCGAGAGAACGCTCCTCGAGCTCAAGGACACCCACACCGGGAGGGGACGGCAACCTGATCCAAGCCTTTGGCAAAGGGATCCTGATTTTATCAGCAAAGCCACCCACCCTGGACCTCCTCGACCGGCGGCTGGGATGGAGCAACGGCAAAGCCAGGTTCTTCCAGCATCAAAACCCCAGCGATCCTTACAAATGGCGTCCGCAACCGCGTTGAGCGACAGCTCTTCGGAAACACCCCGCAGACACGCTTGACAACTCGCCTACGAGCGGCCAGCCAGAAAGAAAGGCAGGAAGAAAGCAAGGAAAAGAAGTGATTCCTCCCCGTTTTGCCGCCGTTATTCCCCCCT